GCAGTCAGCTAAATGGCGGCCTCGTGTGGTAAACTCGGTTAAACACAGCGCTCGGGCTCGGACGGACCATCAGCGCCACCCCTGACCCGCACCGGGGCACAGGCTCGGCGATAAACTGCAGCATCCACCTGGCCCAGAGGCTTTTCGTCCTTTTCTGAAAGAAAAAGTAACTCTGGGGCTACCTCACGCCCCTCATGGAGTTTCCAGTCCCGAGAGATGGGACACAGACCATGGGATACTCTTAACCCGACACCCAGAAACCATCAGCGTGTGTCCCAGAAGGAAAAGCATCATTTATGATCACTTAAACCTGCTTTTATTATTTTCAAGTTCCAAATCCTGCCTTCAAGTTCACGCTAGTTGTGGGGCCTCTTCACCAGCTGTCCTAAAAGCTGAAAATGAGATTCTCCTCCAATTCAAGCTAAAACCTGACCCACTTTTCTTCACTGCTAAAATAAAACGCAGTGGATTGCTACAGGAATAAGTCTACAGGGAGAGGAAGACACAAACCAACATGTCTGTTGCAAAGTTACATTCCAGCAAACCGGCTTTAAACCTTCCCTTTATATTCACAAGGCAAACAGCACTGCTGCTTTTATAGGGTTTTAAGAGGGTAAAGGAGTCTGTAAAATCACTAAAAAACGCCAACCATGAAAGCTTATGTTTGTATAAAAGAAGTTTTATACCAGGAAATAAGTTATATACAAGATTTTACCGACCAGAGAGTTCACAATCACCTGTAAAGTGATTCACTACAAGGTCACAAGGCAACACCAGCATGTGAAGGTGGTGACACTACCCACACCCATTCCAGGTCATGGACACAAAGTCATTTATTAGTGGAAAATAACAACATGGGCAAAGACTTCAATCCACGTTCATCAGTATCGCCTATTCATCTTCTTGAACTTCTCATAGTGATAATCATCTGTTGCTTTTTCATTGAGTGGTCGTTTGCGATTTGGAGGAGATCCTTCAAAAGAAGGAGAAGGCAATATTATTTCCCTGTCCTTTCACATGAGGCATTTCCTTAACCTGTCAGTGCTCTCCAACCTTGTACCCCTTGCTATTCCTCCACGCAGACGGCTTCATGTGTGTCCATGCGAAGTAGGGGTACATAAGTGCAATAGATTGCTGTTTGCCCACTATCTCAGGGCACACAGAGAAGAGGAGATAACAAGAGTCGTATCATTTCCCTCTGTGAGACCCCTGAATGGTTTCAGATTAGGAACTTACGTTCAGGTTCTGGCCTCTCTGTATCCCCCACTCTCAGTGGACGGGGCTTTGGCTCTTCTTTGTTCCTTCGCACTGGTGCATTTAGCTCCTCATGATAAACTGAAAGAACAAAAACATCAGATAAAGAGTATTATCTGGAGCAGTGTTACTCAAACAGGCGTATTTCTGTGGCATGTTACAACTGATCTTAAGCAGAAGCAACAGAACCTCAGAACAAACACTCTTGTAATTAGTTTCTATGGACAACCAATACATGCAAGATGGGATACGGCATATTTCAGTATCATCATTTCATCAGAAGTAGTCCAAAGACACTTCATTTCCTTCAGAACACACAAATCTGACTCTAAATCACCGCTGTAAGCATGGTTACACGCAGCAGGAGGCTGCCTTTCCTCCAGATGGCTGCAGTATGAGAGTCTCTCCCGGAAATGAATTCTCATCTCCTGTCTAGTAAGGTCTATGTTTGCCTGACGACCTGTCTGCTTTGGCAGCCTACAAAATGGATTCCCTCAATTACAAACCATCATTTATAATCTCAGACGAGGCAGGCATTTCCAGCACACGCTCAGGACACAACTTAAAGGAAAAGTCTTGAAATTTATGAGGCAGTGTCAGCTGGGAGTTCAAGAGCAGAAAGTCCAGCCATGAGTAATAACGTCCCTCTCCTGGCTGGCGGATGGAAGAAAAAGACCAAGCCAGATGGGGTCTATACGAGCATCCCAAAAAAAGACATCAGACAGCTGCTTGTGCTGATACATGAACTAATTTCTCCTACATCAGACTCTGTCCCAACTGATTGCTTTTGTTTGCAGAGGAGAAGGTCACACCTAGGTCAGGAGAGCTACAGGAGACTCACATCGGTTGTGCTGAACATAGTTAACAGCCATGTTGGTGGGGACAAAGGAAGTTTCACTGTCTTTCTTTTTGTTCTGCTGCTCTGCCAGCAGCTTGGCCTTGGCCTCTTCAGTTGAGATGATGTTTTTTATTTTTGCACTAAAAGAAAAACAAAGGAAAGAATTATTCATCTTTAGGAAGGGCAGTAGCCACAGAACTGCCAAGTGGGTGGATCTGGGGGACAGTAATTCTCCATAAAACTGCTGGATTCAGGCCACAAAAATTAAGAGCCTGTTCCCAGAAGTCATACCACGGAGCTGCACTAGAGCCCTGTCGCTATGTAGAACATGCTGTGGCACATATCGCCCTAATCCAGAACAAGGCTCAATCCCACCACGGAGCCAAACCAGGGCTGTATAATCCAGACATACTGCTGCTTTGTCACTCAACAGTTACTCATCCTGTCAATTCAGCCTATAACCAGCAGATCTGTGAATTACATACTCAATTCCCAGGTCCACTTCAGGAATACCGCTGAGCATTTGGTTGGACAGCATCTCCTCAGTCTTCTTGGCAGAGGAGACACGGATGTTCTCTGGCAACTCATAGAGAGAATCTTCGGCATTCTTAAGCTTCACCTTCTGCTCCTCATTCTCTACAATTCCCTTTCTCTTCTTCAACTCAGTCTCAATGTACTTCATCCTAAACAGCAGCACACAAGGGACACGTAATATTTAATCCCGTTTTCTGTAGTCTGTTGCAGCACTGCAGAGTACAGCTGCAGCACTGTCCTGATAGCTAGGAGAGAGGAGAGAAAAATCTCTCCCAAAACAACTCAGCTATCAGCAACTGCAAGAAGCAAGATACTTGCTTCTGTACCCAATAAATTAACAGATCCTCCAAGCTCTTTCACAGCCAGAAGGGAAGGTTCCCACCAAGTATTTAGTGTTAAACTAGCTGGTTGGCAGTTCCCATCTTTGTCCACGGAAAGGCCTTCTCAAGTCTGGCAGCCAGGAGGTGAAAGAGCAAGTGGAAGTTTCGGTGAGAACTGGGAAGATGTTCTGGGACTGCTCAGAATCCAAGTCAGAAAAAGTTAAACTGTGAAGGGACACCCAACCCCAAATTCAAAATCACAGACACAACACAACACAGCTTACATGTCAGCATCTTCATCCCGTCTGTTGGTTTCAGCTGAGAAGGAGGTTCCCAAGTTCAGATCTTCCTCTTCATTAATCCTAAATGGAAACCACAATGTTTAGAGTTTTGGGGTTTGCTGTTTTGGGTTTTTTTTAACTAATTGGACAAGTTAGGGCAACAGTAATTAGCCAAACTACATTATGTTAAACTCTTCAAAGCAAAACAACATCCGGTTACTTCATTACTAGGTGTCTCTTAATACTAGTCCAGGGAGAGGTCTTCAGAGCTCACATGCACCCACCTGTCCTTGCCTCGTTCTTTCAGCTTCTTCATGTCCACCATTCCCCCCGATTTTATCTTAAATGGATCATCCTGTAAAACAAGAAATAATAAGAAACCCTGAAGCTTCACTCTAGTTTTATGCTAGCCTTTGAAATCCGGATAAAACCACTGAAAACATTTAAGTATTGAGCTGTGACACCAGTTCCACTCCAGGGCAGACCCACACAGGCATCAGCTGGACCACACTGATGTTTTCACATCATTACATCTCCACACAGGGGTGATGAAAGCGTCTAGCACTTACCACAAGTGTTGCTTCTTCCTGCAGCTTCTCTCCCACAAGCAGAGCTACAGCACTGTCAGGCAGATACAGAAAGTAAATATAATTCAGAGGAATGGAACATATTACCAACAATACTGCATTTCTTTATCCTTCTCTAGATCTAGCAGATGGTCTCACACACTGCATCAACACTAAACTGTCAATGTTCCCAATCCCTCCAAACGGATAGAGGAGCTATTACTGGTTTGGGGAGATGAGAAGTTAAGGCAGTTTTTAGTGCCTTTCAGTGAGTCACCAAAATAAGGAATAAGTTCACTGCTGGTGCACATTTCAATGAGCTCATCAACAGCACTACATGAGAGGGGAGATGGGAATTAGGGTGGAGGAGGTATGAGGGTGTCCAATTTTAAGCCATGTGTGCAGTACTAAGCTGATTTGTTGAAAATACATTTCGTGGTAAATCCCAATCCTAATCTTTGTTTTCATGGCCAGGATACAGAGCAGACTTTGCTCACTGCAAACGGTTACTGTGCATTTGCAGCAAACTCCTCCCCTTTTCCATCCTCAGGCTTTAATAGTGGAAATAGTGGAAACTCCTCTATCAAGACGATGGGTTTGGCACTATTTGACATGTAACGGTTTCTCCTGCCAGGAGGCACGTGACAAGAGACATGTTCACTGTTACATTTCAGCCATGAACAAAACCCAACTCCACATCGTCGGTGCCACATCCCTTACCTCACCCCATTGGGTCGCCTTCTGAGGCTCTGAACTTCTTTGGCTTCCTCAAGTTTTAACCTGAAGAAAAAACATTTGACTTAGCACTTAATGCTTCTGTCTTAACTAATTAACTTAATTTGACATTCTGCAGTTAACACAGAATCTTGTAGACTTTGCCCTAAACTTCTGCATGTCCTATTCATGGCAGTGTTCAAGGCCAGGTTGGACACAGGGGCTTGGAGCAACCTGCTCTAGTAGAAGGTGTCCCTGACCGTGGCAGGGGGTTGGAACTGGATGAGCCTTAAGGCCCCTTCCAACCCAAACCAGTCTGTGATTCTATGATTCTGTATCAGTGTCCACTTATCTGGCTACAGATTGTAGATATTTTCTATTTTACTTTATTTAAGCAATTCCATTTATTTAAGTAAGCAGAAAAAAAGCCCCACATGGCACCTGCTGGTTATGTCCCTTCAAGATGTCAAAGAATAATAGAATGGTTTGGGTTGGAAAGGACCATTATGTCTTCTCTCAGCTGAGGAAAGAAGCATCCAAACATTGACCAGCTTTAATAAGATGCCAATATAGGAAGAATGAGCTGAGGATCCCTGGTTTTAGTCATGTCTCCAGCCAATATCCTCCTTGCAGTAAAACAGAGGGTTACTAACATAAATCAATGCGGGCCAGCTTTCCTCCTTCAATGATCGACACTAGCTAATGAAATAGCACAGTCATTTCTCAGAAGGGGGAACTAACGAAGCTCTCCATTTAAAGCAGCTCCTAAGTGAATATAACACAGCTGGGTGTTACAGACACATCAGTGCATGGGTGACTTAGAAGAAAGTTCATGGTAAACCTAAATATCACATCTCTCTGTAGACTGACGCACACTTTTGACTTCTGCAGCTATCTAGGCTGATTGAAAGACACGTCTTTCACTACCTGCCATGAACTGTGCATCATAAAATATTTTTCAGAGCTTATCTCTTGCTTGGAACTCAAGGCACTGGCAACAAGACGGGTCATCTGTGAGTGTTGAATTCCGAAAGGCCGGAGTGACGAGAAGAGAACGTTAGCAATGGTGTGCGATGCCACCGAGCACGCAGGTACCAAGCGGGAGCAGAGGATCTGTCGGTCACCCGTGACAGGGCGCTGCCCTGAGGCGCTCCCGGGCTGATCCCTCGCAAACGCTCTCCGCTCCCGGCCCAGGGGAAGGGAAGACAAGGACCGAGGCCCCCGGGTGCAGGCCTCCGGTCCCCCTCCGGCT